CTATGAGGACAGGCTGGGAGAGTTGGGGTTGTTCAGCCTGGAGAAGAGAAGGCTCTGGGGAGACCTTTATAGCAGCCTTCCAGTGCTTAAAGGGGGCCTGTAAGAAAGATGGGGGCAACCTTTTTAGCAGGGCCTGTTGCAACAGGACAAGGAGTAATGGTTTTAAACTAAAAGAGGGTAGATTTAGACTAGATATAAGGAGAATTTTTTTTATAATGAGAGTGGTGAAACATTGGAACAGGTTGCCAGAGAGGTGGTAGATGCCCCATCCCTGGAAACATTCAAGGTCAGACTGGATGGGGCTCTGAGCAACCTGATCCAACTAAAGATGTTGGTGCTCATTGCAGAGGGTTGGACTAGATGACCTTTAAATTTCCCTTCCAACCCAAACTATTCTACGATTCTATGAAAAGAAAATCCATCTTCACTCCAGTGCTACTATGTCTTCCCTTCTAACTCACCAGCTGTTTATATCTTTGCACTGTTAACACCAGAAGGTTTTCAAAGCACTTACTCCAACATTGTTGCACCTGGTCACCATGTCTCTAAATTCAGTTTCATTTCCAGATCGTGTGCACAGCTTGTAGCTGACAGGCTGGTATCTTTCCCACCATGGTTTCCAGGGGTCAGTAATGATAACATTTTCATTTGGAGGTGAAATCTGTGAATAAGATGGTGTCTCTTGGTAACAGGATACTGATAACGGTTCATTTCTTTGCCCAGTATTTTTAAAGAAAGAACACAAAAAGAGAAAATCGGGTCCCCTTAATGGAAGACGGTCACAATACCTAACCACATAGGTCCTCAGTATCCTCTGCTTACGCTGCAGTGGGCTGGAAATAAAAGACTTAGGCCTGGATCTTCAGCAGGCAGAAACATATTACAAAAATGAGGTCTATGGACATAATGTCGTAATTACCTTTGTGAATGTAGGCCTCAAAGATCAACAGAAGGGTCTGAAATCCGAAGGACAAGGTCAGTAGAGGTAGCCCCAAATCAGGAAGGAACTGACTGTAGAACAACTGACGTAACATCCTGTCCTTAAAATTGATCCAATTTCCCATTTTTGCAATGTTTTGGATAAAAGTGTTCTCGACATGAGACTTGTCACTGTTTCCAGATAAGCTATACCTCTTCCTTCTATAGACTCTTTCCAGGATACTTTTCAGGCAACAAGGTTTTGCTGCTACCTCCAAGTCTCTGGGCATAACCACCTGATCCCACCATTTCTCACACAGATCCCTAGGCTGCAGCCTACTTAGCTGCCACACCTTTGTGACCAGCTGAGCAAGTCTGCATCTGAAGAATCTTTCTGAGACCCTGTCACAGCACGGATCAAAAAGGTATCCAAGCATATGCCAAAGTCTGAGAAATCAGTTTAAAACCAATCAGGCCTGGGTGCCTGGAAAGAAGGTTGCAAAGACAAGATGTATTCTTTGAAAGTTCTCACTCAGGCCAACTCGCAAACTTCTGGACTACAAGAGACAGGCAGATGTCGCTCACTACGTTTTCCTGAGCAATCTGACAGACAAACTGAAATAGTTTAATAGGTGACTGCTCTCCAGCCGTACTACCTCACCCATCTGACACTACTGGTTCCACAGGAACACGTGTCTGTTCAGACAGAACAGGTTCACATAAACACACCTCCACCAGAACCTGTGTTCAGTTCATTTCTACCTGCTCACACCAGGTTCCTGCAACGAAGGGTCTCTTAATGGCTTACTCTGATGCTAGGCTTTACAGAGAAAAACTTGCCAGTTTGGGTGAACACTATTAGCAACCTTTTATATTTATTTATTTAAAAACTTCAGCACTTTAGTATTCTCTTTAGGAACCCTTTTTTTCAGTCATAATTTCATTTTAAGTTCATCTAGCTCCTAAGAGCTTCCCTTGATTTAAATAACATCAAGCAGATAAACATAGGTTACTCTTCACAGCAGTATAAAAAAGATTTAGCCCGTGATATGCAATTCTGATTCATCTAAATGTAATAGCACAGAGTGCAAAACACGCACTTTGGAGCAATGAAATAAATTCATGCTACACAATGATGGCTGAAGAACGTATTTGTCAGCATTTACTACTTCCATTACCAGTTTCTATTTTTCTTTCTCAGTACCTGTCCTTTGGTGAATTGAACAGTTTCTCTGCAAAACAAATTATCATCTGTGCAGCAATTTTACTACCTACTGATAGGAACACACCTACCTGAACTCCTCCAAATCCATTAGGAGCCAAATAGCGTTCACACTCAAGAGCAATATCTGCCCAGCGCCATTCAAAGAGATGTACAATAGACGTCCTCCCAGAGAGAGTATTAGGGTTGTACTGTGCCCAGCAAAACCCTACAATTAACAGAAGAAAATAGACACCCATCCTGTGCTCTGCGATCCGTTGCCCTCTTCTTACTGCCTATTTATATTCCTGCAAGAGGATAAAGTACATATTACAAAACCAACATTTGAAAGTAAGTGGCCATCTCTGGCATCGTATTTATTTAACTTTATTTGATTGTCATTTTGTTTGAGAATTGGATTCTATGTAAGCTGTATCAGCTCCCCATACTAACAATAACTTTATTTTTCTTAAGTTAAAATTCAGCCGTTGTCTAATACAGGCTGTCTCTGGTGTGTAAACGTTGTATTTTAATTAGTATAAAGCCAAAAACATCCCAAAAGGCAAAGGAAAACCTATATAGACCGAAATGGACACTCCATTTCTCATGTTAATGTATAACATTTTACATTCCTATTTATCCTTGAGAGGCATCTTTTTTTTTTTGCAATCTGTGTTACCTGTGCATATTTAGGCCTTGAAGAAGCAGCATGTTTCTTATTGTGAGTTGCCACGACACCCCAGATATTTTGGAGGTCTAACATATGTGAGCCTATCGTCTGTGATAACGTGACACCTATCATTCAAACAGCAGCCCTGATCCTAGAAGGTCTCTCAGACACAGAAGTGACAATACAGACTCAAAACCAGAATGTTTTATCTCTGTACACCTGTACAATTTGCGTGGAGATCCTCTTCTCCCAGAGAACATAGCGCAATGGCATGCAGAAGTGCAGTGAAGCTCCATAACAACTAAGTCTCCTTCTCAGTGCCCAGGTACAGAGTTCTGCAAATGCACTGAAGGAGCTTTCCAGAGGAGGAAATCCAGCAGCATTACCTTCTGATAAGGTAGGCTGGAACTATACTTCCCAATTCGTATTGTATTTGTATTTGCTTATATATGAACACAGATCACAAGCCTATTAAAACTGCCTCCCCTTTTCCCCATCTAAAGAGAGATACAACTTGTAACAAAACAGAAGTTAAACAACTATCAAGGTTTAGGTTACGGTATTTAGGATCTCCTTTTGCACTCTTCATGCTTACAAGCTGATTTAGAGAGTTCGAGATACAAAGTAGCCCTACAAGATCTTTTGCAAACAAAAGGCTGAACTACTACTTCCCTTAAATAACAGAACACAGAATCTTGTTACTTTCCTCTAAGCATCTATTCTTTGTAAAAAGCTATCTTAACACAGAAACAATACAGGGCAAAGGGGGAATAAGGAGATTCCTCGGTGCTGTCATGGGGGACACCGAAAACTTCAGTGAAGGTTAACCATGAACACAAGGGCCTTCAGGTTTGCTACAAGAAAGAAACCCGCACCCTTTCCTGGTTTAACACACATTTGGGAATAAGCTGCTGAAAACCCTAACCTCATATGATACAGATTCCAAACAAAAGTTTATATATAATCTTACACGATTTCTACAAAACAACCCTCGATTTTATTTCAAGGGAGGGGTGATCAGTGTCTCTCAGTGGAGCGGCACTCTTTGGAGCAAATTCAAGCACAAGATATGCCAGTTTACAAAGTGTAGAACCTGCCTTCCAGAGCCTGTTGCTATCAGATGTCACCGTGCTTCAGAGGCAGCCAGTTATTTAGAATGAATCATTTGATAAATTTAGCTTGTTTTTCTGCTTGTGAACAAAATAATTTTAATGAAATTATTTACTTGTAGATCTTTGGTAGAGTACAGATAAACTTCAGCCATAAGCAGTTGTTCTGTGTGCTTCCATAGTCATGAAAGAATGCTTCTTTGCCCTGACAGGAGGAACATACATTAACAGAAAATGAGCTAAGAAAGTTCAATTTTGTCTGAGGAGACAAGCCGTTTACCAGATTGGCAATTTTTACTTACAGCAGCAAGTACACAAAGCAGTAAGAATAATACATTTTGGCCCAACCAGCTTCAAGGCCTAGTACTTTCAGAGAAGACCCAGTGTAGTTTTTCATTTCTTTGAAATAGATTCACAGCTGCTCTGGCTTCAATACAAGCAATAGTAAGAGAATGGAGACGCTGAAATCCCCAACACGCTCTGAAAGCTCTAGCTTCAAAATCTGAAGCTTTTGAAATTCTGGGAAAAAAGCAAGAGGCCTGTACTCGCCTTTGGAGGAAAAGCGAGCACGACGGACTGCAAGTTAAACAACACGGGAGAGGATTGTTTCTGAAGAACGCTACTGCTGTCTCGGACAGCGTCAGGACTCGGGTCACCTTTGTCTTCTGCTGGGTTGAAGTCTGTGGCGCGAAGCTCAGCTGCCATCTCGGAACACCGGCAACGCTATTTAAATTTGCGAGGTGTGACGCAGACCTGCTGGAGCTTCAGATGTTAAAGGCCGCCACAGGATAGCAGTCTCCACGTGAACTTCTAGTCCTCCCCACAGAACTCCCCTCAGCAGCCGCACGGTTCACACAGACACAGCACTGCTCCTCACACAACCCCCCGTCGGGAGCACCGCTACCGACCGACCACCGGGCCTCTTCGGCACACCCAGGCGACAAGCGCACCGAAAGCAAGCAGCCCAACTCAGTACGTACATTTTGGGGCCAGCCGGGGTCGCTTTCGGCGGGCTCCAGCAGCACCACCC